CAACAGCAGCCAACGACATCAAAGTTCTGTCTTCCTCCAACACCCCCTGAGCACTTGGATGAACTTCTACTTCCCGGAAGCATCCCAAGCCCTCCCAAGCCTGAGTCAGTGCGCGTCGCAGCTCTCAGGTCACTGGGTCACGGGGTCACTGAGTCACTGGGAGCTGAAGGAGCGAAACGAGCTCGTGGGAGGGCCGAAGCCTCGAGTCGACTTCTGGAGAGCGCACACCCCATTTTGCGCGTGCAAAAGGATCGCACGCAGTCATACAGCAAAGTACAGAGCAAAGTATGCAGAGGTCAGGACAAGCCTCACGAGAACTCTCAACATAATGCTGATACAGCTGGAGTATCGGCTGCAGTTGGGGGCTGCGAAATCACGTGCTGCATAACGAAGCTGCATTTCCCCTTCCCCTTCCGCACCCTTCCGCACCTGGGATTGTGGGGTCCTCTTCCTTGATGGATGCCCTGAGCCGGCTGCAGAGGGCTGCTAGAGCTGCTAGATGCAATAGATGCAGGGGGCGGCGTACATCTAGCGTTGGCTTCCACAATGTTTGCACAGCACCCTTCATGGCAGGGTGCTGTCTACTTTCCAACCCGTTGCATCTCTCTCTAAGGGGCCGCGTACATCCTACTGAATCGTCTTTGAAGGAATTGGTTGCGACATCGAGCCCCTGAATGCCTAAGCGCTGCAAGTGCCCCAACTCTCAGCCAGCGAGCGAGCTTGGACTCTTGATGACCACGGCACCTAGCGGCTCGGCACGTTGGAGGATTCATTGCAGACTTGAAGGCCTTCAATTCTGCAATAAAAACACCATACCTTGTGGCCTTGAACCCAAAGCAAAGGCCTCCGGCAAGCGTCGTTGGAACATCGTAGTGGCCCGGCCCAGGATTGTCATTCGTTGCCAGTTTATCCCTGCAGGCGGCTGGGCGGCTTGGGCGAGGAACAGAGTGAATGAAAAAAATCATAAAAAAAAAAAAAAAATCACCCTGTAAAGATGAGTTCCAGTGCGCCTGTTGGAAGAGCTGAAGCCAATGGCAGGGGCAGACCTGTCCCACTCATTGAAGAAAATCTCGCTGGGGGCCGAAGATGAGAGTCACAGTTCTGTCAAGATAGAAAAGGTACCATGCGCAGCATCTGCAAATCTCCGGGGTCGAGCTTCGACCCTTGCACAACAGCTCAGTGCCCAAAAAAGTGCCCACGAGCGACTGCTACAGGAATCCTGAAATCCCTTGAAGTCCCTCCGGCTTCGGATGCTATGGGCCAGCACAGCTCACACAGCTCCCAGCCCGGAAGCCTGCAGTTTGACTTAAACCGCCAAGCTCCCTACGAGTACTGTACCTATCTCAGCCTTGACGTGATGCTGGAGTTCGGAGAGAACTCGCCGGGGCCCGGCTCGGGATCGACAGTCGTAGTCTTGCCGCTTTTTCCACGGCCTGGCTTCTCATTTTCAGCGGAGGAAATTGAAGGAACATAAAATCACAGAAGGGAAACATAAGGGACCATGTCAAAACTATGCAGTGTTCGACCAGCTGCTGAGCTGGTCGGAGCCTGATTGTACACAGATTCCCGAAACATCGGCCGCTTCGGCTCTAGTGCCCCTTTTGAGTCTCGGGCATACAGAAAGAACGTACAAGAGAAAGACTGTGCAGACTCCCTGCATCCACGAAGGGTCCTGAGACTGTCTGTGATGATTATAGTGCCCAACCCCCCCTACACGATGCGATGTTCGGTTTTGTTGATAATCCCTCCCCACAAATACTAAACCCCTCCCTAATTTTAAATTGTTTGTTCCCGGACCCTCCCGGCACCCAGCCCAATACTAAACATGTTTGAGAATTAGGCGGGTAGGGGGGGGGGGTGCGGGATTGGGGGCCTCTGCCCTTGAGTTGGGCCATTAGGGTTTTCAGGGTTTAGGGCTTCAGGCTCAGAGGATTTTCAGGGTTTAGGGCTCAAGGCTCAGAGGGTTTGATTTAGGGCCTTTGGGGTTTAGGCTTCGGATTTCAGGCTTTGAGTTTCAGGACCCCCTAATGTTATACATCTTTTCCGGCCCAGGCGAATTTTAGAATGGGGGGGGGGGGGGTTTAGTACTGAGGGGGAAGGGATTTGATTAGGCTTCACTGCAGCCGTACAAAAGTAACAAGGACAAGCGGAACTAGCCAGCCAAAGGCGCAGCCTCCTTCAGGCTTTTTTCCCCAGATTGGCCCGCCACGTCCTGCGTAGCCGTGTATCCCAAGAGTCGACGGGGACCAATCCCAGACAAACGGTAGGAGGAGGACCACTAAACCCGAAAGATGCAAACTCTCAGCCCCGTCCTTGAAGAGTGGACTTCAGTTCGTACTGACCAGGGCCTTGAAGGGCCACTTGCAAAATGCTGCGACTCTCGCAGCAGCATGCGCAGCTCAAACTTCGCAGCCGACATCCGTGAGGACAATTCCCAGTGAAAGTTAAGAGGGTTCCGCCATGTTCTACCATCATCGAACCCCGCCTGGGCACGTTTCAGGCTTGGGCTCCTTGGGGCGGCTGCCGAAGCCAAACCTTGAACGGTGCTGTGAACGTGACTTGGACTGCTTGGGGTTCCGGAGCATCGAGACTCGAGATGATGCGAGACCGGTGAGAAAAAAAGTAGAGGACACAAAAAGACTTCCCAGCATCACACGATATGACACGTGTGATGTCATGTTGCATCTCTGAGGTGGCCGCTTTGGCGAGTACGGGGATTGCTCCCTCGGCTGTCAACTGGTCCGTCTCACAGAACCGCTGTCTCCAACTGGTCTCCGTCTTCTGTGGTCTTCTCAGTTATAAAACACAACGACTCAGAATGTCACTCAGAATGTCACTTCCTGATTAGCCTCTGATAGTTGTCGGGTGTACAACTCAGGAGAAGTTGTTCAGCCGCGGCTCAGAGGATGGTATTGACCAGGGCCAGGCCTCGAAAAGTCACGAATAGAATACGCAAAACAAAAGAGACAAAGAGACAAAGAGACAAGGCAAACGCGTGCCCCTTTGAGGGTGTGTTTTTTTCCGGAGAGAGGCTGAAGAGCCCCCTCTTTCTTCTACGCTGAAGGAACACTGACAAGCAAAAAGAATGGATGCGAACTGCTTCCCGGGCTTTGCCAGGAAGAGGCTCTGTGCAGTGACTGCCATGATCGACCATTCCGGAAAAGGAGTGCATCGAACTCATTCTAGCTGCTTCCCAGCTGCCCAGCGTCCTCCTGTGGGTCGGGCCTGGGACAGGAAGGGTGAAGGAGCGTGCAATTGCGAGATGCGGGATGGAGCTGATTGGGCTTAAGTTGTGAGCCTAGAATGAAGTGCAAAGCCGCAGAAGCAGCCAAGTCCGATCAGCAATACGATCAGCGCCGGTAAGTCCCGGGCGCTTCTTCCTCTTCCTTCTTGGGATCGGTTGCCCAAAGACCTCAACTCAATGCAATTCTGCAAGTGGGCAACCTCACTCATTGCATTTTGGGTGGCGGCTCTTCCTTCTCATTACTGATTTCTGTGGCGACAAAGCCCTCGTCATGCAAAACGGGAGTTTGCCTTTGTCGAAGTAGGTTCTGATAGTAACTTGGGGAAATGGTCTGCCACGTACGCCCTTTTGCGAGGCCCAAGCCATCCTTGGCAGGGTTCCCGATGCTCCAGGACGGTGAAGCAGCATACTTGTCCTGCAGGGTCCAAGGCTCACTCTTGACGTAACCTCGGAATTTTAAGCCCAAGTACAATACTTGTGACAGCGCAACTTGCCTGGACGGGTCAATCACAACCGCACCCTGAATTCCTGAATCATGCTGTCCTGGTCCGCCTTCACTTGGTCGTACTTCCTTGGCCGAAATCAGTCGTTCGCCATGAAGCGGCTCCCGTTTTGCAGGCAACGGCCCCCCCGCCCCCCCGAAATCCAGCCTGCCGATGGAGCTTTGGACAAAACAGTGGCCGATGCGTTAGGCAAAAGTCCAACAACCTCGATCTAGATTTTGCATCCCTCTTGGGACAAATTGCATTATGTGTAGAGACCTGTGCGAACAGCTGGCTAGCCGGCCCCTGATTGTCTCCAAGGACCAACAGCTTGAATTGAACAATTGGAACCCTTTTCTCTGCATTTTTCTGGGGTTGCCTGAGCGCAGGTCCCTGGACCAGGATCATCGGAACACTTTCCCTTGCCTGAGTGCGTCTCTTTAAACGAAGCTGCAATCGCGAGGGAAGTCCGATTGCCGACTGCAGCAAGCCCTAGGGGTTGCGCCATGGGCTTCCGGTGCTTGGGTTGAACCCTAATCAACATGATTCCCCCCCAAAAAAGGCTGGTGGTCTGATTGGGGTTTGAGGGTTTAGGGCCTTTAGGGTTTAACGTCGCAGGATCAAAACGATGCCAAAATCCGCCGAGTCTTCGGGCCTAAGGTCTGGCAAAAACAACATTTTTCCAAGCGGTTTGCCATCTAACGGACATTGACACTGAACTTGACTTTGACTCTGACTTTGACATTGACCCCTTTCTCTGCTTTCTAAGAACGTTCAGGGACTTTCTAGGGGCCCCCTAGGAATACCTCAGCCTCTAGCGGTTCCTGGGACCCCTTTCTTGACGACTCCCAAGAAGGTGATGAGTGTAGCAGGGAACCTCTCAAGGTTTCAGGATTTACGCCGAATGCTTCGGATGCGGGCTGCAAGATGCTCGGCCTCCCCATGGTGGCCCCAAAAACATTTCAGGAAACTTCGTGGCTGTGCTCGTTCACCCTAAACCCTAAACCCTGCCACATGGCGAGAGAAATGAAGATTTTGCTCCGTTAGCGGAAGCAATCCCCATTCGCAAACACAGACTTTTCAGAGTCCTTCACGCCTCTGCAAATATGATACTTTGAGGTTCCCGCCCTACTTGTGCATGACTTGCTATCTCAAGTGCTGATCCAAGCTTGGCTAGCTAAGACGATTCAGCAGCTCGGGACCTCACCAACGAGCGGGGCGATGGAATACTTGGGCCCTGCCTGCAGTTGCCAGCTCAGATCAGATTGCAACATCATGCACACGAGGCTATGAAGGCACTTGCAGCTCCTTGCGGCTCCCTCAAGCTACATCTCTGCGGGCGGAGGGCTGGATGCGTGGAGAGGACGTTGAGATCCATCTGCAGCAGGACACCACACACATCCACACACTGCACACTAGTTGGCTACGCCCATGCGAGTCTGTCCTGTGGCTGCTGGTGTTCTACGCACCCGGGCCTGTCCCGCAGCTGCCCTCACAAAACAAGACGCCCAACCCTCTAGATTTCTTTCTTAGTTTCCAGCATTCCAACCCTCTCTCTCTCGCTCTCGCTCTCTCGCTCTCTTTCTCCCTCCTTCTCCAGCTTAAAGGACTCGCTCGGCTCTGAGACTCTGAGATCTCCGACCTCCTTGGCCTCCGGCGGAGGTGGCCTCCGCTCCGCCTCGGCCCGGCTCGCAGGCCTCGGCAGGGACGCCTCGGATTTCCGGACACGTCACCTCGTGTCACTTCATGTCATGCCTCGATTCTGCTCTACGGAGGTTGTCTTGGCTGGCAGATATGGACTCGCTCGATTTCAGTTTGCTCAAGCTCACTCGTCTTCACTCATCTTCACTCGTCTTCACTTGTCCACCGCGCTTCGAAGCCCATCGCATCTTCGATCCCATCGGGCTCGACCTCGGAAGGCAACGGACAAGGCAATGGACCACGCAATCTGAGCTGCAACCGATTCAACAGATCAGCCGCTTCTGGTCAGTGCTCACATGGCCTCGGACCTGAACCTGAAAATGCCTAACATATGGCAACCCATATCCAAAACTCGCTGCCAAGTCCTGCCAAGCTGCATCTGCTGCAGTGGATGTTTGGACTTCCGTTGCAGTGGTGAGCCGCATCTGCCGGCACAGGACATCTCAAGACATCTGAGAACTTGAAATTGTGAAGGGGCAGAGGCGGTATATCGTGCTCATAATATGTTACAGTTGTGCTCAAGGTCTAGGATGCTGCGCCTTCCACGCGACTGCATCGAGTGGAGCGAGCCAGGCGCCGACCGAGGGCAGGTGCTCGAAGGGAATCTGCCCAAACACAACCCAAACACAACCCAAGCCCATCTCCGTGTGACTGTGTGGACTCTTCTTTCGTTGCTCTGTGTGAATCCCTGATTCTTGGGAAACTTTGCACCACCTGAAGACTAAGGAGTCTGTATTCAACGCTGGGCATCCCATCGAAATCATGTCTCCGTGCGACTGGAAACGTGGAGTAATAACAACTGAGAACTGACCTCTCTGCTTGTGGCTTCTTTGGTGTCTGGCGGCAAGCTTCACATGCTTATACCCTGAATGCAGTTTTGGCTGTAACTTGGGTGGCCTCATTTGATAGCCTGATGGTGCCCCCGCCCCCTCCTCCCCTTTGTTGGCTCTCCCCCCCCCCCCCCCCCCCCCCGTTCACTCGCCTCCATCGCCACAGGCGCTTTCGCTTCTTTCGGTGCTTCCGACTCTGCAGGCGCTGGAGACGCTTGAGCTGCTGCCAGTACAGCAAGTGCTTCCTCACAAAGGCACTCCAAGGATAAATACAGCGGTGATGAAAAAAACACAATTTGGGCCAATGTCCCGAGGCTTGTGGCGTGTGCACGCTCCGTGTGCAATTCTTCAGCAAACTGCAGCAAGCACGACGATGACAAACATTGACAACACCTCGAGGATGCGCCACGCAGACTCTCAAACCTCAAGAGGGCGTCCTTTCAAGAATGACAGCTGTCCATTGCCCGCCCCTCGTTATCCCACGCGCTGTCCGCTCTGTCCTCCCGGACAATCTTTGCAGTCGGCGCTTCGGCCTCTCAAGCTTCAGATTGAGTAGTGAGCGGGATGCTCCAGGGTGTTCGGCAGAGTTTGAGGCCCGATGCAGTCCTCCTCGGCTTGTGGCTTGGCTGCAGTGGGCACTGGCGGCTCCACGTTATCCTCCTCGGAAACTCACCAAGGCAAAAAGCCCAATCAGTTCTTGAACACACGCATACGCCTCATGCGCCGACGTGCTATGCCAACCGTCAACCTATGCAGAATCTGCGTGATCCAGGTGTTTGTTCCGAGATGCATGAGATGCGTCAGCAGCCACCGCCGCTGCGGGCGAGAACGCCTGCACGGCCTGGCCAGGGCTTTGCCACACCATCTCAAAGCGCGAAGCTTTGTTCGGGTCAGTTTATGACATTGCAAACTTCGCCCGGATTGGGATCGGCGCCTTGTCGAGCGCTGACCCTTCCCCGCTGGGGGCGTCATCGGCCGCAGCCTGAGCGGCTCCGCTGTTTAGCAACCGTGGCCCTCCTAGCGCATTAGTATGTGTACATGACGGTACATGTATGTACATGCCTGTGACTGTACATGTCTGTACATGTATGTACGGTGAATGCAGGTGAATGCAGGCAAGAAGCAACGTCAGTTGGCGGCAAAGGCGCTCCCTCCTCTGGCATGCCCTCAGTTTGAGCCCCTTTGTCGGTGTTCTGGGGTGGAGGCTCCTGCGAGCAAGGCATCTCGAGCGGCTGGACAGCACCGTCAGGCGCAGCAACCTCAGCTGCGGGTTGCCCTGCGTCAGGATCTCCAGTATCTCCCCGGATATCTTCGGTACCTTCAGTCATCTCCCCTGACTGCTTGTCGGCAGGCGGCTCCTCCATCGCGGCTTGATCCCCGGCCCTGGGCTCTGAATTCGGGATCTCTTCCTTCGCTTCTGTGACCGTTGGCTCCTGAGTTACTGGCCCTTCTGGCTCCACCTTCCTCTCCTCAACTGCCTCCTCTGCTTGCTCCTGTGCTTGCTCCTCTGCTTGCTGCTCCGCCTGCTGCTCCGCCTGCTGCTCCGCCTGCTGCTCTGCTTGCTCGGGATCTGGAAGATACAGCTCCGCCGTCACCTTAGCTTCCTCCGCTAGCTCTTGGGCAGCTTCCTGCGCAGCTGAAAGCTCATCCGCAGGCGCCTGGGCTCGGCCCTCAGCCACACTCGGAGCAGCCTTACTTGCAGAGCACGATGTTTGATCCACATCACGCACTTTCTTTTTTAAACTAATAGAAAATACTTCCGACAATGACATCATGCCCACGCCAAAGCACGTGAGCAGGAGGAGTGGCCTTTGGCCCTTCCTCATTCAGCTCAGCCTTCTTCTCCTGAATCGGCGGTGGTGGCGGGTTCATGCAAGGCCCAGCTGGCTCCTGAGCAGAGGTAGAGCGCAGCCCTCGACACGTGTCGATGTGTTGGAAGCCAGTCCATGCAAAGGTAGCCAACCCTGCCTGAGGGGAAAGAATAAGTTTCACTGACAACCCCGGCTCCTTCAGCAAGATCTCATCATGCTCAGCCCTTCCGCCGTCCATGAATAACCTCCGCAAAGGGAATGCAAAATGGGAATGAAGGAGTTGCAAAAGCCCGCCTAGTTTCTCTTGTCCCTTCCATCCCTTCCAGACCCCGACACTGAGTTAAAACACTATGTACAAGTATCCTACAACGACGCAAGAGACGCGAAAAGGTACAAGGTATGTAAAGTCCCATGAATCTTGGCCTCCAGAAGAACCGGGCAAGCCCATCCCCGGGAAAGGCATGCCAATCACGCGACACGCTGGCAGTACTGTCAGCGCACCTTGCCATAAATCTGTACGGGTCGGCTGGTTTCTCTTCGATCACGGCCTGAAGAACTGCCTGGCCAGGGCATCTCGAAGGCAGGTCAGGGAAATGTGGTCAGGCTCAAGTAGTCAGATTCAGGGCCAGATCTCCGGGCATTGCTGACGCAGCGTCAGCGTCGTGGTTTTCTCCCCGTGACTGTCCTCCATCTTTGCCCTATCTACGTGGTCCCTTCGAGATTCTTGTGAGCTGACCTGGGTCCCGGGTTGCCCCTTGTAAGACCCGACCTTGCCCACAGCCAATGCTAGCAGGCTTAGGCCTTGGAAGAGGCACAAAGAAGACCCTGACTCTCTGGGCCCAGGCCTGCACAAAGTTAAACACGTCGTGGTACTCCAAATAGTCCTTGGCCTTGGCAGTGCTTACCCACTTTGACGAACGAAGTTAACGATGTAAGGAGAACCAGAGGGGGGGACGGAGGGAGGGAGGGAGGGGAGGGAAAAGAGGGAGAGAGAAACAAGAACAAAAACAGAGAGAACACGTACTGGGAACGAAGCGAGGCTACTCAAAGGTACTCTTCAACAATTTGACGGGACTTTTTCGTGGTGGAAGACTGGGTAAAGAGACCCGGAGGAGAATGGCAGAGCTATGGTGTCGCAAAACGGGAAAACGAACTGGAGAGGGCCACAAAAGTTGGGGACAGAGGGTTTGCAAGTAGCCACAGGGAATCCGCATGGTGTGAGAAAATACATGCGGCCACTGCAATGCACACCTCAAACCATGCTCGGCCTGCGTCACTGCAACATCTCATCTAGCTTTTTCACAGCGTCATCCCCTATGAATCTCTGTACCCGGCTCAGTGTCCGAAATGCTTTCCGAATACCGCCGAGTCGCACCCTTGGCACTGGCCATGTTCTTCGCCTCCATGGGATCCTCGCGCATTTCTGCACACGAGTGACACATGGTTGATTGCACGTGGGTGCGCAAGTGCGAATGGCGGCGGCTGCCGAACGCCCCGTGGCCGATGCATTTCCGCCACAGGCAAACTCAGGATACAATCAGCAGTGCTTTACTCCTTGTCAGCCCGTTCGCTCCAGGTGGTTTCAGACACGTGTTGCTTATTGTTGCTTGATGACTCCATGTTTATGTGGTTGATTCAGAAAACCTGAGGTGGAACTGGAGTCGAGCAGCTCGGGAGCTTTCGCTAAACGTCAGGGCATGGTGCCACGTGTTGACACGCCGTTCTTTGCCGCCGCTTCTGCAGCTGCCGCCACTGCTTCTGTTGTCCTTTGCATTGCCATTGGGCATGATTGGGCATGATTGTGTCTTTTTGGGCTGTTGACTCTGCTGTGCTGCGATTGCGTTGATGCGTTTCTCAGCTGTATTCTCATGATGTTGAGCTCTTGCGACCACACCGCTTCGTGACTAAGATGCGCCAATGCCATGTGCCCTTGCCTGGCTTTTCGGCTCAACGGCAGCTTTGGCCGACCCGCTGTCGATCCGAGCATGCAAAAGGGAGGCATGTGAATGCTTTGCATCTGAAGGCTTGAAGAGAAATTCCCTCTTATTCTTGCTAGAGTCTTGGGAGCCTTGGAATCAGGATCAGGAGGTTGGAAACGGATATGTTGCACCCGCCTGTTTGAGCTCCAACTCCACCATCGACGTGTCACCTGCGATTCAATGTCTTCGTCAGAAACAGGCCGCGAACGAGCCCTGCACTCCAAACTTAAGACATTTCTACGAGAGGCACCGAAACCGACCTCCGTCAACTCCTTAATCAATTTGGAGATTTAGACTTTTAGAGTCTCGGGCTCGCACCAGTGGTCACTTTGTACCGTTGATCCTCGTCGCGGGCAACATCACGACGGTAAAATACCCTTCAGAGCGAGAACGACAGTCCTTCAACTCTGTTCCCTTTCCTGCAAGACGCACACGCACTTTGTTTACGCGGAGCATGTTTGATAAACGTACCATGTAGTACGCGTGAGGAACCCCCCTCATGTTGATTCCTGCGCTGCTTAGTCTGGCCAAGCTGCCCCAGGCTTCATCACCAAATAGCCGCTGCCGATCTGCAAGACTTGGTATCAAAAACGAGGTGGTTTTCTGAATTCAGACTTTGCACTGCCGACATCCAAACGAGCACGCTCAACGCGCGCCAGTGCCACATATCGCTTGCTTTCAGTGGAAAAATGTCTAGTGAAGTTCGTCAGCAGGATATTGCCAAGTCCTTCCCTGTCCTAGTTGTACACAATACTCAACGCGGTCAACTCCCAGCCTGCATTAAGATGTCGACGCGAAGAGGGTTTTCCTCGCCAGCCCAAGCCAAGGAAAGAGGACGCTTTACGGGCTTTGGTCTTTGGGATGTACCATGCCATAGCCTGTGCAACGAACATTACAACCTGGGCGATTATAACCTGATAAAGAATCAGCTCGACGCAGGAATGCAGATCCATACCGCCCATCTACCACAGTGCTCGTGGGGTCGGTTGGCCTAAACGGCGCTTGCAAGAGTTCAGAGGTTTTCTGGCATACACATGTGCGTGCGTGTGCGTGTGCGTGTGCGTGTGCGTGTGCGTGTGCGTGTGCGTGTGGGTGTGGGTGTGGGTGTGTGGGTGTGTGGGTGTGTGGGTGTGTGGGTGTGTGGGTGTGTGGGTGTGTGGGTGTGTGGGTGTGTGGGGTGTGTGTGGGTGGTGTGTGGGTGTGTGTGTGTGGTGTGTGGGTGTGTGGGTGTGTGTGTGTGTGTGGGTGTGTGGGTGTGTGGGTGTGTGGGTGTGTGGGTGTGTGGGTGTGTGGGTGTGTGGGTGTGTGGGTGTGTGGGTGTGTGGGTGTGTGGGTGTGTGGGTGTGTGGGTGTGTGGGTGTGTGGGTGGGTGTGGGTGCGCGCGCGCGCGCGCGCGCGTGCGTGCGTGCGTGCGTGCGTGCGTGCGTGCGTGCGTGCGTGCGTGTGTGTGTGTGTGTGTGTGTGTGTGTGTGTGTGTGTGTGTGTGTGTGTGTGTTTGCGCGCGCTGCAGAGATGCCGTGGGCTGGCGCATGAACCGCGTGTGGCAGGCGGAGGGAGGAGAGGGCCTCCAACGCTGGACGGTTGCGACGGGCATGGCGCATTTTCTTGGGACTCTTGGGCTACCTCATCATCAAGTTGAAAGGTCGCAGCCGAAATTCCTACGATGCCCACGGAGAGGGCCTGGACTTGAATCAGGACCGGTGTGCCCCCTGCCCGTGTTGGTGCACATGTTGCGCAGTTTTTCGAGTTGAGTGCCATTTCCGACGATGTGCCATTAGCAATCTAACTCCATGCATGCAAAATGTGTAGTCAAGCTTTACAGCTTTGCATGTAACGACTGCGACACATCCTTGGAACAACCGAAGTCACTCCATCGTTCAGAAGCCATCATGGGTCACAGGGGTCATCTTTTTGATGGTAAACAACCACGGGGTCCTCCATGAGACCCGTCGGAAAGCGGAACCTCGGGGCGTTGTCAGTTAACATTGCCTCATGGGCACTCCAGCTCTCAAGAGTTCACTGATCGATCCTGAGATGGTTGAACCGTTGAACCCAATCCAGGTGCCCAGCAACGTCAAGCAACATCAAACAACAAACGCCTGTAAGAGTCTGTAAGAGTGTCAGAATTTTCTGTGAAGCCCTCCTTCCCTTCTCTTCCAAAACTCCGAGGATGGCGGCGGGAAGCGCCCGGAGCCCAGCTGCGCCTGCCTGGGAAGGAGTCCAACTCAGGAAGTTTTTGGAGTGTCCAAAGGGACTCATCGTTCAAGCCATCGAAGAGTCAGATGGAAGAAAAAACGCGAGCCATTCGGAGAAGTCGGCCTCCGCACGCTGCCCTTCCGGATGGAGAGGACCTGGGCCACTCACTGTCGCAGATCCCATTCAGAACCAGCCGAGTCCAGCCGAAGTCCACACAGTAACTCTGTACTTGCTACTCGGTTTGACTGCCTTCTCATGGCTATGTTGGGATTCGATGTTGTCCAGTATTGCTTTCCTTTTGCCTATGGGTCTAAGTACTAGTGTTTTGTTGCGCGCCAATAGCGCAAACGAAGGGACTTCTTCAGTAAGCGGTAAGCCCATCGGGGAGGCAAATCCAAAACTCGTTTACCACCCGACAGTGGGACCCCAAGTACGACTGTAACAGCGGCTGGGGCTCATAATTTAGGTTTTCAGCCAGGCAAAAAGACTTCTCTGGAACGGTTGGAGTGCTAACAGCACGACTTTTACAAGCATGTCGAGCGGGTCTTACATCATCAATGTGTGTGCGCGCGTGGGCTGGCGCGCGCGTGTGTGTGTGTGTGTGTGTGTGTGTGTGTGTGTGTGTGTGTGTGTGTGTGTGTGTGTGTGTGTGGGTGCGTGTGTGTGTGTGTGTGTGTGTGTGTGTGTGTGTGTGTGTGTGTGTGTGTGTGTGTGTGTGTGTGTGTGTGTGTGTGTGTGTGTGTGTGTGTGTGTGTGTGTGTGTGTGTGTGTGTGTGTGTGCTGTGTGTGTGTGTGTGTGTGTGTGTGTGTGTGTGTGTGTGTGTGTGTGTGTGTGTGTGTGTGTGTGTTGTGTGTGTTGTGTGTGTGTGTGTGTTGTGTGTGTGTGTGTGTGTGTGTGGTGTGTGTGTGTGTGTGTGTGTGTGTGTGTGTGTGTGTGTGTGTGTGGTGTGTGTGTGTGTGTGTGTGTGGTGTGTGTGTGTGTGTGTGTGTGTGTGTGTGTGTGTGTGTGTGTGTGTGTGTGTGTGTGTGTGTGTGTGTGTGTGTGTGTGTGTGTGTGTGTGTGTGTGTGTGTGTGTGTGCGGGTGTGCGGGTGTGCGGGTGTGCGGGTGTGCGTGTGTGCGTGTGTGCGTGTGTGCGTGTGTGCGTGTGTGCGTGCCTTCGGAAGATCATGAGTCTGCAGCCAGGTAAGAAAACAAGTGGCTGAGCAATTCTAATGTCATCAGAGCCTCACATACGCCTCGAGACCCATGGCCTGATGCCATGCCCACTCCAACCGTCAATGGTGGCAGATGCTCGAAAAGACAGAGGCATGCACCGCATCGTCAGGAATTCCACTTTTGGAAAGCCTCGTTGCAGCACATGTCCAGCAGACTACCCCTCTGTGATCAGGACAAAGTCATTCCGAACAGCCCTGGCCCGATCTTACACGGATTGGGGCGCCAGCAGCTTAACTTCCATGGCTTCCAGGCATGGCTTCAAGCTGGAAACCCCATGCGTAGCTGCATCAGACTGAATTCGGTCAGGTATGGGTGAACCGTGCCTCGATTGGAGAACCTTCCTGTTCTCTTTGAAGTGCACAGGTCTCATGTTGGGTTGGCTTACGAATTGTGCATGAGATTCTTGCTGGGAGGATCCGGCAAGGTGCTCAACATGGCATGACACTTCTTAGGTTGTTGGGGTTCAACCCATTATATCGTGTTGCTGCGCATGGCTCAATGCTGCAAGACACACGGAGCCGCACTCACAGAGACCCTGCCTAGTGGCACCTGCTTGCTTGTCGGGCATGAAGGCATTAAGGTTGCCAAGAAAGGGCGCCCGCCGGACAGCCAACATCAGAATCATTGATTCGAAAAAAGAAAGGTCGGAATTATTGTTGCAATGGCAACAAAAGTAACAACAATCAAAACAGGACAACGGCCTTTCGGCTCCCTGCATGAATGGCTCAACATGTATGGCGTGTTCCGAAGTCCGAACTTGCAAAGCTTCATGCCTGCACCGCTTTAAGAACATTCTGCTGTCATTTTCGAACCCTCGCTCGCGGCTCGTTGACTTGGTGGAGTTTTTTTTGAGACGCCCACACAGAGGCAGATGACTTCAATCACACATCCAAACCTCTGCTGATAATATGACTCTACAGCGTAATTAAACTCGAAATATTCACAGCAAAAACTCATATGTTCTGAACACAGTGCAGTTCAACATCTACTCTTCCATGCAGGGCATATCTAGCACGCACACCGCTCCTGTAAACAGCTTCGATGTCGCAGGCCAGCGGGCGCTTCGCTGCCGGGATCTATCTGCATGGCCAACGGAATTTCTGACATTTGTCGCATATATAGTTCTACATCTATACACACACACACAGATATTAAATGATTTAACTGACGCATTGGTGATTTCAGTGCATTAATGTTGTTTTTAAACTTCAAATGGTGATGCGTTCCTTGGTTTGCTTTTGGGATGGATTCTTGTTGTTGATCCCTTGGGCTGCTAGCTCTCTTCAAATTGCAACTACTCTCTGGGAGCCCAAGAGCAGAAGAACAGCAACACACACACACACACACACACACACACACACACGTTTGATTCAGATGGCCCTTCGGAGCACAACTATGGTCGTGCAACAGTTCGGCTGCACGTGTCGCGCAGACATCGCAATGCGTGAAACGCTGGTCCGAGCACATCACAACAGTGAGGACTGTCTAGGTGTCTTGACACACCGATGCTGTATGGCTGTGAGGGCCAGACATCCAGGATTATTTGGAAGTCTCGTCCAGCCATTCAAGCTGATCCATGTGTGCAAGGAGTGAAACGGCGGCATCTCGCACGCGAAACTGCGCACGGCCACCACTAGAACTTACCGCATCTGCGGGGCAGATGCTACCGAAGCCTCTGAAAGTCGAGTGGCCCGAAAGCTGATCCGAGGAGGCAAAGGAAAAGCGGCGGTGCTGTAGTTTGCAACGGCCGGGGCTGGAAATGAGCAGCAAACGTAGTAAACCGAAGACCCTCAATCAGTTTCATTTTGCCTGAAACCTCAAATGCCTGCAGTGGCGAGGCAATGCTTAGTGTGTGCTTTGACCGGCCCCATTCTGCCTCCGAGGACTGCTCACGGAGCAAGAGCGGTCACTGGTCACTCAGGAGTCTCCTCACGCAACATTCGTACAATTTCGCCAAAAGGCGAATAAAAAAAACTCTCACATTGTTTCACTGATTCACAGAGGCACGAGTCCTGTCTTCCCTGGCGATCTTCATGCCTGCCAAGCTGAGACCAAAGTAACACGGAGCTGAAGCAAGCGCGTTACTGCCAAGGGCCGAGAAACGTGAATGACACCGGTGGACATGCACGCGCGATGCTACACACCGACAAACAAACAAAAGAACAACCGGACAAACACACCTGACCTGAAATGGTTTTCTGGGGGGGAGCGCTGAGCAGCGTGGGTTTGAAACGTACAGCGCTCAGGCACGTATTGGGCCTGAAGGAAACCGACCGAACTTAAATTTTGGCCATTTGCAACCGGCCCGGCAAGCCTGCAATTTTCCATTTCCGAGGCAAGACGAGCCAGCTGAAACACTCGCCCAAGTCGCAAGAGCTGTGTGGTCCACAGCCACACAAAGTCACGACGACAGGCTTAGGAAGCTTACATTGCCGAGACGGAGCGACAATTCTGTAAATGTGGCCCTCACGCCTCGTAATTGTCGTAGACGACAGTGGGACTCAAACATGATTCAACGTATGCATGCTTCTGTGAAAAAAACACCAGTTCCCCGCCCCCTCAGAGCAAGATGGATTAAAAGGAAATTGATCTACAGGATCTAAAATGGATGCTGTGGACTTACTGCTTCTATAGCATTCTGATGCACTCCACATGTGGCATTTCCTAGTGCGTCCTTCAAATTCAATGGAATTCACACTCGGCGTCTCAAGTATAAAGAGGGGCAGGTGCCAACCAGAGAATGGAATGCAGCCATGATGGAGGGCGGGTTGGGAGGGAGGGGGCGTCCAGCCGATGCGTTTCACAGGGTGCAGGCAAGTGCTACTATGTATGGCATGTGACGTCGGCAAGCATCCTGGCGCTTCCTACTCTGGCGCCTGAGCAACTGGCTCCTCCGTTTTCGGTGCTTCTGCAACGGGCTCTTCGGGCTTGGCCTCGGCAGCTGGCGCCTCAGCTGGCATTTCTGCTTTCGGTGCCTCTGCAGCGGGCTCTTCGGGCTTGGCCTCGGCGGCTGTCGCCTCAGCAGCTGGCTCCTCTGCTTTCGGGGCCTCCGCAGAGGGCTCTTCAGGCTTGGCCTCTGCAGCTGGAGCCTCATTACCTGCAGCGGGCTCTTCAGTCTTTGTCTCAGCAGCAGGCTCCGCTTTCGGTGCCTCCGCAGCGGGCTCTTCAGGCTTTGCCTCGGCAGCTGGTGCCTCTGCAGCTGGTTCGTCTGCTTTTGGTGCCTCCACTGCTGGCTCTTCTGGCTTGGCCTCAGTAGCTGTCTCCTCCGCTTTCGGCGCCTCCGCAGCGGGCTCTTCTGGCTTTGCCTCGGCAGCTGGTGCCTCTGCAGCTGGTTCCTCTGCTTTTGGTGCCTCCACTGCTGGCTCTTCTGGCTTGGCCTCAGTAGCTGTCTCCTCCGCCTTCGGCGCCTCCGCAGCGGGCTCTTCTGGCTTTGCCTCGGCAGCTGGCGCCTCAGCAGCTGGCGCCTCTGCTTTCGGTGCCTCCGCAGCGGGCTCTTCAGGCTTTGCTTCAGCAGCTGGTGCGTCTGCCGCTGGCTCTTCAGGCTTTGCTTCTGCGGCGGGCTCTTCAGGCTTTGCCTCGGCGGCTGGTGCCTCAGCAGCTGGTTCTGCTGTCGGTGCCTCCGCAGCGGGCTCTTCAGGCTTTGCCTCAGCAGCTGGCGCCTCTGCTTTCGGTGCCTCCGCAGCGGGCTCTTCAGGCTTTGCCTCAGCAGCTGGCGCTTCTGCTTTCGGCGCCTCAGCAGCAGGCTCTTCAGGCTTGGCCTCTGCAGCTGGCGCCTCTGCCTCCGCAGCGGGTTCTTCAGGTTTTGCCTCAGCAGCTGGTGCCGCTGCAACTGGCTCCTCTGCTTTCGGGGCCTCTGCAGCGGGCTCTTCAGGCTTGGCCTCGGCAGCTGGCGCCTCTGCAGCTGGTGCTTCTGCTTTCGGTGCCTCTGCAGCTGGCTCTTCAGGCTTGGCCTCGGCAGCTGGCGTCTCAGCTGGCGCCTCTGCTTTCTGTGCCTCCGCAGCGGGCTCTTCAGGCTTGGCCTCTGCAGCTGGAGCCTCATTACCTGCGGGCTCTTCCGTCTCTGCCTCAGCAGCTGGCTCCTCTGCTTTCGGTGCCTCCGCAGCGGGCTCTTCAGGCTTTGCCTCGGCAGCTGGCGCCTCAGCAGCTGGCGCCTCTGCTTTCGGTGCCTCCGCAGCAGGCTCTTCAGGTTTTGCCTCAGCAGCTGGCTCTGCTTTCGGGGCCTCCGCAGTTGGCTCTTCTGGCTTTGCCTCGGCAGGTGGTGCCTCAGCAGCTGCCTCTGCAGCGGGCCCTTCAGGCTTTGCCTCAGCAGCTGGCTCTGCCTTGGGGGCCTCAGCAGCGGGCTCTTCAGGCTTTGCCTCGGCGGCTGGCGCCTCAGCGGCTGGCGCCTCAGCAGCTGGCGCCTCAGCAGCTGGCGCCTCCGCAGCGGGCTCTTCCGGCTTTGCCTCAGCCGCTGGCGCCTCAGCAGCTGGCGCCTCAGCAGGTGGCGCCTCAGCAGCTGGCGCTTCTGCTTTCGGTGCCTCCGCAGCGGGCTCTTCAGGCTTTGCCTCAGCCGCTGGCGCCTCAGCAGCTGGCGCCTCAGCAGCTGGTGTTTCTGCTTTCGGTGCCTCCGCAGCGGGCTCTTCAGCAGCTGGCGCCGCCTCCGCAGCGGGCTCTTCAGGCTTTGCCTCAGCAGCTGGCGCTTCTGCTTTAGGTGCCTCCGCAGCGGGCTCTTCAGGCTTTGCCGCAGCTGGCGCCTCAGCAGCTGGCGCTTCTGCTTTCGGTGCCTCCGCAGCGGGCTCTTCAGGCTTTGCCTCGGCAGCTGGCGCCTCAGCAGCTGGCGCTTCTGCTTTCGGTGCCTCCGCAGCGGGCTCTTCAGGCTTTGCCTCGGCAGCTGGCGCCTCAGCAGCTGGCGCTTCTGCTTTCGGTGCCTCCGCAGCGGGCTCTTCCGGCTTTGCCTCGGCAACTGGCGCCTCAGCAGCTGGCGCTTCTGCTTTCGGTGCCTCCGCAGCGGGCTCTTCAGGCTTTGCCTCGGCAGCTGGCGCCTCAGCAGCTGGCGCTTCTGCTTTCGGTGCCTCCGCAGCGGGCTCTTCCGGCTTTGCCTCGGCAGCTGGCGCCTCAGCAGCTGGCGCTTCTGCTTTCGGTGCCTCCGCAGCGGGCTCTTCAGGCTTCGCCTCGGCTGTTGGCGGCTCTGCCTTCGGGGCCTCCGCAGCCGGCTCCTCAACTGGCTTGACCTTTGCTTCAGCAATGTGGCCAACGACTGAAATCGAGAAGGCCTTCGGCCAGCTGTTTAGAGCTTAGAACGTTTCAATGACCATCTCCCCCGTCCTTTCTTGGTACAAGTTCCCTGGGCCTGTGGAATCCTGTAAAGTCAAGTCCTTAGCGATCGGCTGCCGCTTTCGGCGAGCTTTTTGGGCCGAGGCGGATGCACAAAACGTTTACAACCGCTAGGAACCATTCAAGCAAAGGAGCAGCTTTGGGCACTTCCTCCGCTTGCTGCACCGGCTTCTCCTGCACAAAGGCGGCGAGATGTTTGTCACAGGGCGACATCATTTGAGGCCTGATTGGACCAGCCGCCAGATTAAGACAAGATAAGACAAGCCTTTGGAGAAGTCGGCCACACTTTCCAGTGGCTGCTTGAGCATCACCGTCGCATACGCGTAGTTTAGGCATACATCATGAACAACCCACCAGACACCACACAGGATCTTAAAGGTGATCAAAGCCATGTCGCTTCCTCCTTCGCCAAATTCTCCGTGCTACCGCCGATGTATCCATTCATGAAGAGCCTCGAGCAAGCTCACGCTGGTGGCAGAAGACAACAAGACCACCCCCACAGCTCTTCTTAAACGTTGCAAGGCCTACAAGCTTACAGGCTTAGGCACCCTATGTTACATCCGCTGCCACGCGACTTCGCCATGAACCGGTAAGGGTCGTCTGGCTTCTCCTTGATCACAGCCTGGAGAACTGCCTGCACAGCGGGACAAAAGAACAGGCAGGAATGAACACGAATGTGACTCTTCCGGACGGTGCGTCCGAGGACGCGGATGCCCATCTAGTTGCCGCAGACGGTCTAGAGAGTGTCCAGAGCGCTAGAAGTCCAAGTGACATCAACACGCTTCAGCCTGCACGACACGCAAGACGTCGTGGTTGTCCAAGTAATCTTTCGCCTTTGGGCGCTGCCAAACTCCGAAGGCTGGGCAAAGGCTCTCGCTACGAACTCGTGCATGAGACTGCCGCACAGGGAAGGAGCTACGAGTAGAATTTGTAGAATCCTTACATCGGCCCTAAACTTCACAAAACCCGTAGCCCCTACTCCAAGCCCCAATTGCTGCCCGGCGGCGCCCTTGGCACTGGCGGCGGGGTCCTCAAAAAGGGTCACTTTACTAGACTTTACAAAGCGAGACGTAGCCAAAGGATGAGGAAAGGGACATGCGGGAGCTGGTCCTGGCTTCGTTTCGGATCCTCCACAGTCTTGGCCGCCGCTTCGCCGTCGGTCTGAGCATGTAGCGTCTTCAACCCTTCAACCCCGAATCTTTCCAGATCTTCCGATCCTCCGTACCTCAAGACCTTCATCTCTTGCGCCAACCGGTGCTCATTGGAAACCTGCAGCACCGACCTTCTTGACTTCCAACTCCACTTCCGCTTCCGACATCTCACCTGCACAGATTGGAAGCTTCGTGAGGATGGGACAGAAAGCGAGGTGTGACGCTGGGAATCTCTCTCAAATGCTCCAGCTTGGCGAAATATGCTTTGATTGCAGGGCAGCGCCAACCTCTCCTACTTCGGGCGGGAGGGACAAACGCTTTCAACGCTCAAGCGGACCCGGCCCCAGAGCTCCTGCCCTAACATCTAGTCTCGGGCCGGCACCAAAGGTCACTTTGTACCGTTGACTCTCCTCAGCTTGGATAGCTCCGACGATATCCGAGGCAGGGGGGAAGGGGGCAGAGGGGGGAAGGGAGGAAGGGGGAGGGGAAGGGGTGAAGGGTGAGGGGTGAGGGGTGAGGGGTGAAGGGTGAAGGGTGAAGGGTGAAGGGTGAAGGGTGAAGGGGGAAGGGGGAAGGGGGAAGGGGGGAAGCACTGTTTGTAGCGTAGGGCAGGGTTTAGGGCTTAAGGTGTGCAGGATTCTTTTGGATGAGGAGGTTTAGTCCTGAATTTGGGATGAGGTTTAGCGTTCATAAGGTCTTCGAAGACAATTGCCCTAAAAATAAAAAGAACCTTCCCGCCTCCCTTCCCCTTCCCCCTTCCCTCCCCTCCCCCCCCCCCCTGCCCTGAGCCAGAGCCCAAGACCCGAAAGTCTCCCGTGCGCATCCCTTACCACTGCCGTGCAGGCCCAAATGCCTCAGATAGACGACGTTGAGCCTCACTTTTCTGTGCGAGCCAGCTGAACCCTTTATTTGAAAAAAAACGCCTCGCAAAACCTCCAACCTCGCTGCAAATACCAGCATTTCAAGAAACAAACGCTTCTTCAATAATGCGGCTGCTCGCCACCAACAAATCGACGACGCCCGAAAGTGCTGCTGTTTGCAGTGCATTCGGCCTGAAACATCGGCCTCACCGATAAGAATGGGGTTTCGGACATGCACTCCAAAGCACCTGCACAGAGAAACATCAGAAAAAAAAACAGAGGTTTTGCAATCCACAACCCAAAAATCATTTTATTCGGCGGGGTCGTTTAACCGCCACCATATTGATAAACACATGGAAAACTACTTACTTGCTAGTTTCTACATGTGTATACATATATATGTAAACTTCATACAATTACGTCTGCAGATCCTCTGTCACGTTAAAAACACGATAATCAAGACCCAAGACTCAAATCGCCCCACATGTGAAAGTGCCACCTGACCCATACAGCCGTGCGCGCAGCATGAGCAGATCGAGCTTGAGCGGTCTGTGCGCTGGCCGGGCAGCGTCTGAGACGCACACGAAGAAGCGGCGCGGATTCAGCTCGGCCGCAGTGCGCTTTGCCACCGGCACAGCATGCTCCCGTTCGGGCAGGCTCTGAATAGCTTCCGCGCCGCAACAAGTGTCAAGTGATGAAGTGATCAGCCAAGCTGCCCCAGGTTTCGTCACCAAATGTCCAGTGCCCACCTAGCAAAACTCGGCTTGACAGGTGTCGAAGGGGCTACTGAAGCATCGGGTAAAACATGTTCATGAACGTGCAGCACGAAGCTGTGGCCCTGAGCCCCGTAAACGACGTAGACCAGGTGTCAAACTTCCAGGGTGCAAGCAGTGCAAGCAGCAGCCTGCTGAAGGATGTCGACACGAAGCGGGTTCTCCTGTCCATGTCCGAGGAAACGGAGATTCCTCGAAGCTCTAAGCCTTTACAAAAAAAACAGGGCGATGAACAAAGGGCCACGCCATCCTCAGAACTTTTTGAGATTGCCTTCATCTGCCTTGAGCTGCTTGCCCTCCATCGTTAGCACAAAATGAAAAAGCCGTACTGGGGTGGTCTCATAGGGCAGTTTAACGATAATGGTAGTTTTCAACGCAGGATTCGAGTGCAAATCAAAGTTCAACAGTCCGCAGTCGTGTTCATTCATTGAATGAGTGCGCGAGTCCTTCATCAGCTCAACGGGAAACTTGAACCTTGAGGCAATTGCGCACTTTGAGGCATACAGAGCTGCGTGTTCGCCTGAAGTTGCAAATAGGCTAGGCGTTCATCTGCATGTCCTTCATCACCCATCAACTCCCGACAGTCAGGTCAGTATTAATCTGTGTCTTTTCCTGACAGAGCACTACCATGCAAAGCTGCCAGATTCGCAGTCGCCTGATGGCCCGGAGTCCTCTCAAGCTGTGAAGCGAGTTCCAACCTGCCCTGATCATGTCGAAAGAAGAATGTAAAAAGGAGGTGGGCGAACACGTGCCCATGAAAGGCAGCTCTGGGGACATCTGGGGAAGGTGCGGGAGACGCCCAGAGTCCAGCTGTGCTTGCCTGGCACAAGTGCAGATACCCGAATGCCTACACGCCATTACACGCCTGCACCAAGAACCAGGCAAGTTCATGGCTGCATCTTGCCGTCAGTGTATCGGCAGTCACGTCGTCAAGTCGCAACATTAGCTACACGCTGTGCTACCACTGCAGGTTCGCACGAGCTCAAAGTCAGAACTAACCCCCCGAGCGTCCAAAGCTGCGGGTCCGAACAGCCTAGAAGGGCTGCTTTGCCAACGGTTTTCAACAGGCTAGGACACGTGCCTGCGCATGCTTCCCGCTCGAATGGAGAGGATCTGGGACACAGAGGGTGCTCTAAGCATTCTAAGCATCTGCTCCAACATTCTTCTAGGGCTACAAGATGCTTCAAAAGATGCTTCAAAAGATGCTTCCGAGCATTTCAAGTCTCAATTGGTTCCTTCAAACTGGCGTGGTGGTTGGCCGGTGCGGGGCTCAGGGTCAGATTTCGGTGCTTGTCGACTACAGTATCCTTGACATGCTTAGATGAGAAGCTCAGCTACTGGCTCAGCGCAGGACAATAGCAAGTTCATGCTCAGGTGTGCAGACTGAAGCTGGAAGCAACTGACAGTGTGATCCCAGTTTTCTCCTGACACCTTCTCAACACATGGACTCAACTAACTGGACACAGGCATGGTAAGGCGCGGACGGCATCGTCAGGTATTCCGCTTTTGGACAGCCTCTGTAGCAAATGTCGAACATCCTTCCAAGCACATGGTCCGTGCTGCTTGCATGGCTTGATGATGTCACTAAGATGCTGGCAGATTGACTTCCATGGCTTCCGAGCGAGGCAAACGAGTGTACTCTGACCACAAAACAGACGAAGACACGCCGTGCAAGGCGCAGATGAATCTTGCAAGATACGATATACTGCTCAGGTAGTGACCAAGACATGACAAAACTGCCAGCTGCGCTGAACCACGGAACACGCTGCGCGCGAAGCGAATTTGTGTGCCCAATGATGCATCAGGCCGCAGTTCCTGCTGGACAGCTGTAGTGCATTTCCAACAGGATGACAGGATGTGAGTGTGGATGCTTCGACCTGCACATGAGATGTAAAGAGCCACACATGTAAACTGCAGATTCTGCCCCTGGCATTGTTTGTCCTTGTCGCTGTATGGCCTAAGGCCAGCGTCCCTGGTCTGGCCAAGGAAACGGAGATGAGAGAGCTAGGGGGATGCAAAAATATCAAAAGCTTATCAGGAGAGCTCAGTCCGAACTCACCACTATGCAGGCCCAACTCTGCTCTGGCACGAGCCCAGCATCATTCAACATCTTTGCATGTCTTCGGAGTTACACTGGCGCGCCACAACTCGGATGGGCCTGCAGCAGCTTGCATATCTACAAAAAGCGCACCGTTCCGCAAACAGCTTCGATGTCGCAGTCCGGCTCGTGTGAGCCTTGGGGGCCTCACTGCCGGAGGGTCAATCGGGGCCGCATATTCAAGGTGCACCATGAATATCACATAAGGTCACCCGTGACACAGGGCTTAAAGGTCGGCGTCAGCACGTGATGAGTTCAAGGATTTCAGAGGATCACGAGGTTGACGATGGTACGGGGGAACCCTTTTACATTTTTTTACACAGAAATCCTGATGGCCCTTCGGCAGAATCACTATCATTCGTGCAGCGGATTGGCTGCACGTGTCGCGCAAAAACTTTATTACGTGAAACGCTGGTCGAGCACAGAACTGGAGACAGATTGGCTTTCCCGCACTGCACGTCACGAACGTGTTGGTGAATCTGCGTTTATCCATGAGCATCGGCGACTCTGGGCCGTGCCCGAAATCTGCCACTTACGTTCAGTTACAGAAATCTCGTCCAGCCATTCAAGCTGATCCATGTGCGCAATGAGTGAGACGGTGGCATTTCAGCATGCGAAACTGCGCATGGCCACCCGGCACTAGAACTTCCGCATCTGCGGGGCAGCTGCTGACGAAGCCTGGAATGTTCGGACGGCTATACAGAGGCACACGAAGCGCTGCATTCGCCTCTGGCTATTGCGAGTGCTGTTTTCAGGAAGTCGTGACTGCCACTATTTTGCCCAGTGCCAGAATGTGCCAAGCTACAACACCCCGCTGAGTGATGGCGATCTGCACGATCACCGATAGCCTTCCTTCTCTGCGCAAAAGCGATTTCCAGGCCACAGACGGAGCTGGTAAGCAGCTGGTAAATCTCTAAAGCTATAATGTCATGAGCATTCCCGTGAGGCAGAGGAAAAGAGGCGGTGCCATCTAAAGCCTCAGAACGCGACCTCCTAGTCTGACCAAAACCCGTTGAAGCGCAAGTTGAAGCCTACGCTAAAGGATGCGAGGCATGCCTAGTACCTAGCGGCTTAGCGTCTACTTTTGTCCGGCCCCGTTCTGCCAGCCAGGACTGCTCACGGCGCAAAAGTGGAAACTCAGAAGTCTCCTCACGCAACGCCCATTTGTACAATATCACAAAAAGGTGAGTAAAGACGTGTACATACGTGTACAACTCTGCCAAACCTGCCTAATCATCACAGAGGCACGGGTCCTGTCTTCCCTGGCATTCTTCATGCCTGCCAAGCTGAGAGGATTTAAAGCTACTGCAGCTACTGCCAAGGGTCGAAAAAGGTGAGACACCAGTGGACGCACACGCTTTTTTTACACGTACAAACAAAGAAAGAACCGGACCAGGAGACCTGACCGAGGCGCGGTGCAGCATGGGTTTGAAACGTACAGCGCTCAGTGCTCTGGCACATTGTTTTAGGCCTGCAGGTAGCCGATCTCAAAATTTTGGCCGCTTGCGAGCTGGCCCGGTAAGCGCAGTTTTCAATTTCCGAGGCAAGACGTCACGACGCATTCTTGACCTCTTCGTGTGAAGGATCTTGATCAACATGCTGTTTCATTCATTTTCATTTTCAATTTCCGAGGCAAGACGTCACGCAACTAACTCGAGCCAGCTTTGAAAATCGCCCAAGTTGCAAGAGCTGTGGGGTCCGCAGACGCACAGTGTCATCGCCACAGGCTTAGGAAGCTTACAACTTCGAGCCGGATCGAAAATTTAATTCTGTAAATATTGGAGGGGTGATCTTTCTGTATGTATGCTTTTGTGAGAAGCAAAAGGGATCAAAAGGGAACTGATTTAGAGGGTAGGATCAAAAATTGATGTTGACTTGCTGCTTCTATGCATTTTGATGCACTCCACATGTGGTATTTCCTGGCGAGTCCTGCACTGCGGCAAGTGAAGGGAACTCAATGGAACTCGCACTCGGCGTCTTAATTATACGGGGCAGGTGCCAAGCGGAGAATGGCAGCCATGGAGGGCAGGTTGGGAGGGCAGGGGTATCCAGCCGATGTGTTTAACAGGGTGCAGGGCCAACAGCAGGGTTGACAAAAGGGGTTTCGGGTTTAGAACCTGGTTTTCGGGATTCATGGACCTGATTTGGCCTGACTGTAGCAAGGGAGGGGTTCGAAGGACGGGCCGGCCAACCCCCTTGCACTCAAAAAATGCAGATTAATGTAAAAAAGAAAGGTGATTGCTACTCTTGGCTAGCGCCTCGGCGGCTGGCGCTTCGGCTGCTGGCGCCTCGGCGGCTGGCGCCTCAGCAGCTGGCTCCTCCGCTTTCGGGGCCTCCGCCGCAGGCTCTTCAGGAGTTGCCTCAGCAGCTGGCGCCTCATTAGCTGGCTCTGCTTTCGGTGCCTCTGCAGCGGGCTCTTCGGCCTTGGCCTCGGCAGCTGGCGCCTCAGCGGCAGGCTCATCTGCTTTCGGGGCCTCCGCAGTGGGCTCTTCAGCAACTGGCTCTGCTTTCGGTGCTTCTGCTGCGGGCTCTTCAGGCTTGGCCTCGGCAGCTGGCTCCTCAGCCGCTGGCTCCTCTGCTTTCGGTGCCTCGGCAGCTGGCTCTTCAGGCTTTGATTCAGCAGCTGGTGCCTCAGCCGGGGCCTCTGCAGCGGGCTCTTCAAGCTTGGCCTCGGCAGCTGGCGCCTCGGCAGCTGGCTCTGCTTTCGGCGCCTCAGCAGCTGGCTCCTCCACTTTCGGTGCCTCTGCAGCGGGTTCTTCAGTCTTTGCCTCGGCAGCTGGCGCCTCGGCCGCGGGCTCTGCTTTCGGTGCCTCCGTAGCAGACTCTTCAGGCTTTGCCTCGGCAGCTGGCTCCTCTGCTTTCGGTGCCTCTGCAGCTGGCTCTTCAGGCTTTGCCTCGGGAGCTGGTGCCTCAGCAGCTGGCGCCTCAGAAGCTGGCTCCTCTGCTTTCGGGGCCTCTGCAGCAGGTTCCTCAGGCTTGGCCTCTGCAGCTGGCGCCTCATTAGCTGCCTCCTCCGCTTTCGGTGCCTCGCCCGCAGGCTCTTCAGGCTTTGCCTCGGCAGCTGGCGCCTCAGC